AAGAAACCAAATCAGCCTGACTCTAGGTTAGAACACAGACAGATTCTAAACAAGGCCTCACACCTAAAGTGTATTGTCTGGCCTGAGATGTCACCTCTTGTATACACTATTAAAACATTTAATTATTTCAGGGCAATGACTCGAAAGAAATTCTGGTATTTACATTTTAATCAGTAGAAACCCGCATCTCCTTTCTAACTGATTAAAAGATTCAACAGCAGGCAGTCAATGAGCTATTTTTAGGTTTGTTACCTTCCTGCTTATAAATTCTGTGTCAGTGTATCTCCTCTTCCACATTACACTTGAGGAAGGAGAAAAGCTCTGAAAGCTAGTGTTGTCAATATCTAGGAGGATACAAGTCTCATCTATGAAATCAGGTCTCAACATTTTCAGCCACTTTATCATTCTGGTCAAACTGCTGCAGCACTTCAAGGGCCAATTTCGTTGAATAATGAAGCTGGATTGACGGAATAAATGTTCTACTCCTAATGTTTAGAAGTGTTTTGTCATGATTTGAGAGTATCACTGGCAAAGTTAGCATTTGTTTCCCATCCCTAATTGCCCTTGAATTGTGTTGCCATTTCAGAGGGCAGCGAAGAGTCAACTGTAAAAGCAGAAACCACAAGAACTGCAGATGCTGTAAATCAGAAACAGACACAGAAATTGCTGGAAAAGCTCAGCAGGTCTGGCAGCTTCTGTGAAGAGAAATCAGAGTTAACGTTTTGGGTCAGTTCTGAGGAAGGGTCACCAGACCCAAAACGTTAACTCTGATTTCTCTTCACAGGTGCTGCCAAAACTGTTGAGTTTTTCCAGCAATTTCTGTGCTTGCAACTGTAAAAACAGCTGATTTCCTTTCCTAAGGGGCATTAGCGAACCAGATTGGTTGTTATGACAATTGGTAGCACCATTACTGAGACTAGCTTTCAGTTCTAGGATTTATTGAGTTTAAAATCCACGAGCTGCCATGATGGATTTGAACCCAGATCCCTAGGCCATCCAGAGACATTACAATACCACTGACACTGCTAATTCTGGTACTGAAGAAGTAATGCACTAACCAAAGTGAGCCACCTCTCTGTTGAGACATTGAATCTTCAGTATACAGGATGCCACAGCCCCTATTTCAAAGATCTGAGGAAACACATCTGACTAATATTGAGCCCTCAACCATCACCCAAACAGGTTGAATGCTAATTAAAAACCAAAAGAACTACGATGCTGTGAATCAGAAATGAAAACAGAAATTGCTGGAAAAGCTGGGGGCATGTGTGGAGAGAAATCAGAGTTAACGTGTCCGTTTGCATCTGTGGCAAGAAATCAGAGTTAACCTTTCGGGTTGAGTGACCCTTCCTCAAAACTGAGATTCTGACGACGAGTCACTTGACCCAAAATGTTAACTCTGATTTCTCTTCACAGATGCTGCCAGACAAAGAACAAACAAAATTACAGCACAGGAACAGGCCGTTTGGCCCTCCAAGCCTGCACCGACATGCTGCCCGTCACAACTAAAACCCCCTACCCTTCTGGAGACCGTATCCCTCTATTCCCAACCTTTTCATGTATTTGTCAAGACACCCTTTAAAAGTCACTATCATATCTGCTTCCACTACCTCCCCCAGCAGCGTGTTTCAGGCACCCACCACCCTCTGTGTAAAAAACTTGCCTCGTACAGTACCTTTAAACCTTGCCCCTCGCACTTTAAACCTATGCCCCCAGTAACTGACTCTTCCACCCTGGAAAAAAGCTTCTGACTGTCCTCTCTGTCCATGCCCTTCATAATCTTGTAGGCCTCTATCAGGTCCCCCCTCAAACTCTGTCGTTCCAGTGAGAACAACCCAAGTTTGTTCAAACTCTCCACATCGCCAATGCCCTCCATACCAGGCAACATCCTAGTAAATCTTTTCTGTGCCCTCTCCAAAGCCACCACATCCTTCTGGTAGTGTGGCGACCAGAATTGAGCTCCATATTCCAAAAGCGGCCTAACTAAGGTTGTATAAAGCTGCAACATTACCTGCCAATTTTTAAACTCAGTGCCCCGGTTGATGAAGGCAAGCATGCCATATGCCTTGTTGATGACCTTCTCCACCTGTGTTGCCACTTTCAGTGACTTGTGTACCTGTACATCCAGATCCCTCTGCCTATCAGTACTCTTAAGGGTTCTGCCATATACTGTATATTTTCCATCTGGATTAGACCTTCCGAAATACATTACCTCATATTTTGCTGGATTAAATTCCATCTGCCATCTCTCTGACCAAGTCACCAACTGATCTATATCCCGCTGACAGTCCTCATTGCTGTCCACAATTCTACCAACTTTTGTGTCATCCGCAAACTTACTAATCAAACCATTTACATTTTCCTCAAAATCATTTACATATATTACAAATAGTAAAGGTCACAACACTGATCTCTGAGGAATGCCACGAATCACAGCCCTCCATTCAGAAATGCACGCTTCTACTGCTACCCTCTGTCTTCTATGATCGAGCCAGTTTTTTATCCATCTTGCAAGCTCACCTCTGACCCTGTGTGACTTTACCTTCTGTATCAGTCTGCCATGAGGGATCTTATCAAAGGCCTTACTTAAGTCCATATAGACAACATCCACTGTCCTACCCTCATCGATCATCTTTGTCACTTCCTCAAGAAACTCAATCAAGTTAGTGAGACATGACCCCCCCCTTCACAAAACCATGTTGCCTCTCACTAATACACCCACTTATTTCCAAGTGGGAGTAAATCCTGTCTGTCTCAAAGAATCCTCTCCAATAATTTCCCTACCACTGACATAAGGCTCACTGGCCTGTAATTAGCTGGATTATCCCTGTCACCTTTCTTAAACAGAGGAACAACACTGGCTATTCTCCAATCCTCTTGGACCTCCCCTGTAGCCAGTAAGGATACAAAGAATTCTCTCAAGGCCCCAGCAATTTCCTCCCTTGGGTATATTCCGTCAGGCCCTGGGGACTTGTCTACCTTAATGTTTTTCAAGACCCCCAATCCCTCCTCCCTTTTGATCTCAACGTGACCCAGACTACCTACACACCCTTCCCCAGATTCATCATCCACCAAGTCCTTCTCTATGGTGAATACTGATGCAAAGTACTCATTTAATACTTCACTCATTTCCACTGGCTCCACACATAAATTCTCTTCCCTGTCCTTGAGTGGGCTAACCCTTTCCCTGGCTACCCTCTTGCATTTTATATATGTATAAAAAGCCTTGGGATTTTCTTTAATCCTGTTGGCAAGTGACTTTTCATGACCCCTTTTAGCCCTCCGGACTCCTTGCTTACGTTTCTTTCGACTTTCCTTGTATTCTACCCTTGCTTCGTGTGTTCCCAGCCTCCTAGCCTTGACAAATGCTTCCTTTTTCTTTTTGACTAGGCTCACAATATCTCTCATTAACCAAGGTTCCCTAAACATGCCATACTTATCCTTCATCCTTACAGGAACGTGTCGGTCCTGAATTTCTCTCAACTTACACTCGAAAGCCTCCCGAATACCATATGTTGATTTGCCCTCAAACATCTGCCTCCAATCTACATTCTTCAGTTCCTGCCTAATACTGTTGTAATTAGCCTTTCCCCAAATTAGCACCTTCACCTGACAACTACAGTTATCTTTATCCATCAGTACCTTAAAGCTTACTGATCACTGTTGATCAAAGTGATCACTGTTCCCAAGCTGCTCTCCTACTGAGACGTCGATGACCTGGCCAGGCTCATTCCCCAGTACTAGGTCCAGTATGGCCCCTTCCCTAGTTGGACTATCTACATAGCGTTTCAAGAAGTCCTCCTGGATGCTCCTTACAAACTCTGCCCCATCCACGTTCCAAGCACGAGTGAGTCCCAGTCAATATACGGGAAGTTAAAATCACCCAGAACAACAACCCTGTAACTTTTACATCTTGCCAAAATCTGCCTACATATCTGTTCTTCTATCTCCCGCTGGCTGCTGGGAGGCCGAGAGTAAACCACAAACATTGTGATTGCACCCTTGCTGTTCCTGAGCTCCATATTGCCTCACTGTATGAGCCATCCAAGGTGACCTCCTGTAGTACAGCTGTGATATTCTCCTTGACAAGTAGTGCAACTCTTTTATATCCCCCTCTATCCTGCCTGAAACATCTGCATCCTGGAATGTTAAGCTGCCAATCCTGTCCCTCCCTTAACCAAGTCTCTGTAATAGCAACAACATCATAGTTCCAAGTACTAATCCAAGCTCTAAGTTCATCTGCCTTACCTGTTACATTTCTCACAATGAAACAGCTGCACATCAATCCACCAGACCCACTTTGATCAGCAACCACGCCTTGCCTGCTCTTCCTTTGAGTCTTAGTGGCCTTACTCTCTAGTTCCCTTTCAGTCAATTCACCTTTGCTTTAGTTCCCACACCCCTGCCAAGACAGTTTAAATCCTCCCAAGTGACACCAGCAAACCGCTGAGCTGCTGAGCTTTTCCAGCAACTTCTATATTTGTACCAAAACAAGTTGATGTAGCCACAACTGTGTTGCTACTTGCTCCTGCTGTGTAAAGACTTGCTGCTGTATTTCTTCCATTATAACAATGGCTACACTTCAGAGTGCTCTGCCTTGGCTGCAAAGTGTTCCTGTATGTTCTGAATGGGATCCTTGTCTTGATTCTGTGCAAACATGCTGGGGATTTTTCCAGATGCTTTGTACATTGAAAAACAGCTAATAAAATGCACAGTTCATTATTTTTGAGATATAAGGGGTGGGTGAGGTGTGAAGGTGGAGGAGGGAAAGGGGTGGGAAA